GCTTCAACAACTTCACCAATAGGCCTGAATGCCTAGAGAAGACACATCTTATCAATACTCAGGCAACGGTTATAATATTGGACCATTAGCGAGTCGTGAAGCGAATCTCAGTGCATCTAAAATTTCTGTCACAATTCATCCCATCAATCAACAGAGCCACTGAGTGCTTGCTGCAGTCTCATCACCTGAAAGGCAACAGTGAACCAAAGAGTTCTCCAACTCCTACTTCCTCCCTTCTGGGGAGGGGCAGATAATAAACTAAAAAAAAAGGGAAATACTAATAGATCTGGTGGCAAAATTATTATGTAAAGAAAAATAGAATAGAGCAGGGTGGAGAAGACAGCAAGTATTGGGTTGGGCCCAGGATGATACCTTGCCTGGAAGCCTCTCCGATGGTGACATGTGAGCAGAGATGGGAACGAAGTGAAGGAGCAAGGCTTGCACGTGACTGAGGAAGACCATGGGAAGTGTGTGTGCGTGTGTGTGTGTGTGAGAGAGAGAGAGAGAGAGCGTGCGTGCGCGCGAGAGAGGGAGCAATCTGGCCATGGTGTGAGGGAAGGATGGAGGGAGTCTGAACCCCCTGCCTGGGCTTCTGGAGGGTCTGTTGAGGGGCAGTGGCCTTTCCCTCTGGGTCCTCCCTTCTCTGCCCTGCAGCCTCCCGCCTGAGCAGGCACACTTAGGCAGCAGAGGGGCCATCTTCCCAGGTGTCTGAGGGGCAGCCTGCGCCTCAGCCTCCTGCCTGGACCCCTTTGCCTATGGGCCACCTGCATCCAATCCTGACTGTTCAGAGGGTGCAGCATTGACCTGCAGCAGCTGAGGTGGGGGATGCTGATCTAGAAGGGGACCCACCTGTGCATGAAATCTCACTCTGCTTTGGAAACCAAACAAGACGATGCAGCCTGGAATCTGCAAACCTGGAGAGAACAGCTCTCATCCAGTGCGACCCTGAGAAGCAAATCACTTCTCTGATTTCCATTTCCTCATCAGCCACGTGAGGCTGACAGTGCATCTGGGGGATTCATTATGAGGCAGAAGAAAGCAGCTGTTCGAGAACACGTGCTTGGGGCCCAGTGAGTGGCACAGGGTTATTGGGATTTCATTCGGCATTGACCATGAGGATCCTAGAGGGAGCCCGTTGTCCTCAGGAGGGAAGGAGAGGCGGAGCATTTGTGTTGCATAGACTGGGAAACGGCTTTTTAAACAGTTCGTGGGCTTAGTGTTGTACACCTGTCATCCCAGCACTCTGGGAAGCTGAGGCAGGAAGACTGCAAGTTTGAACTCATTCTGGGCAACTTAGCAATTTAGTGAGCCCTATCTCAGGGAGAGCGGGGAGGAGGAGGGGGAGAGGAGCAGGAGTGTAAGGAGTAGGAGTAGAAGAAGAAGAAAAAAGGCTGGAGTTGTAGCTCAGTACAAAGGTCCTGAGTTCAATCCCCAGTACTGCAAAAAATAAACCAACCCCCCCGAAACAGTGACAAAAGGGGGTACACTTATACCTGCAGCCCTGACCTTTGTTTTGCCTCTGCTGCTGTTGTTACCATTCAGACCTTTCTGAGCTTCCGTTTCCTCATGGGGTGTTGCAAGGAACACCCCAGGGTGGTTTCGGGTGCTATGCTGATGCAGAGTAGGAACGTGGTGAGCAGGCTGTTACTGAGGTCATGAGGCTCCTGCTCTCCGTGGATGCCTGCCTGAGGGGTCCTGGAACCTCTGGACATGCAGGAGCAGGACGGAAGGAGCACGTCTGGGAATGGATGATCCCCAAACCTTTCCAGGCATGTGCAGATGTGTAGGGGAGGAGTTCTGGAAATTATTTTCTTAGAGAAGTTATGTGGAGAGTTTCACAGGGTATGACGGGCAATTGCTTTAATGGCCAGTGTTTGTCTTTTTTTTTTTTAAATTGAGATAGTAGGGGTTGAACCCAGAGCCTTCACACTGAGCCACATCCCTTGCCTTTTTTATCTTTAATTTTGAGACAAGGTCTCTCTAAATATATAAGTTGTCCAGGCGGGGCTTCAACTTGCCATCCTCCTGCTTCAGCCACCCAGAGTGCTGGGATGACAGGCATGTGCCACTGTACCCAGCTAGTAATTGTCTTTTTTTTTGGTACTGGGGATTGAACTCAAGACCTTGCGGTTGTGAGGCAGGCAGCAGCACCACTGAGCTAAATCCCAGGCCCCTAGTAATTGTCTTTTGAAGTCTTTTCCTATTTAACTGTAGGGCTATTCTGAGTTTTCTTAAACATTTGAACAAGCTCTTTAGAGGATCCACTCAACTTCTACTTTATTTCGTGGAGATCTCTGTCTTTCTTTGCCTTTACACTTTGGTGTTATTTTTTTATTTGTTTGTTTTTTTTCTTTTCTTTTTTTTTTTTTTTGGTACTGGGGATTGAACTTGGGTCCTTGTGCTTGCGCAGCAGGCGGCGAAACCACTGAGCTAAATCCCCGGCCCTTTGGTGTTATTTTTAATCCTATAAAGTTTTAAATCACATATGTTACAAATGGTGCATGAGAGGCCACTGGGACACAGGCCTTACAAGAGTAAAGGCCATATTCCTGCCTGGGTCTGAACAGAGACTGAAATCAAGGAAGATTTCTGTAGCTATCTAGGAGGGACGGGCCTTATGTGAGAAAAAGGCTGGATGTATTCTGTCTGAGCTTCTGAATGATTTCAGCAGCTAGCTGGGAGAGAAACTAAGTTTATATAGGGCCGGGAAGGGACTAAGGAATCTGGAGTGGAATGTTTATGGTTCTGGGTCCATGGACAGTCAGTGCAGGTGTGCATATAATACTGGACTCTCCAGCACCAGGGAGACTGTATATCTTGTCCCCAATTTTCTCTATGGCCATATTTCCTGTTCGTCGAGAGCAGCCTGTCGTTTCAGAGAATGCTATGTTTGCTTATGAAGGTCTCACTCAGGCCAGGTGTGACAATGTATAAATGAATCAGCTAGCTCTCAAACCTGGCCACGCTTTGGACTCTCCTGGGGGAATTGTTTTAAGAATGCAGACTCTTGCCTCCCTCCCTTCCCCATTAGCTGCTGGCCTGACTGGGAATCTGCATTTCAACAAGCTGGGTGGGTGAAATCCTCATGAGCACCCAAGTCTGGGAATTGTTTATCCAATCTTACAGTTCTGTTTTTTTTTGGGGGGGGGGTACCGGGGATCGAACTCGGGTTCTTGTGCTTGCACAGCAGGCGGTGAAATCTTACAGTTCTGTTTGTAATTTCTTCCTTTGCCTATGGAGTACCAATTACTCCAAGTGCAGAGAAATATGGTACTCACTGTACAGTCCCAGGAGCCTCAGCTTGGGCCTCACCTTCAACCTGTGGGAAGCACAGACTCTGAGGTTGTATCGCAGAGCTGCCAAGTCAGAGACCCTGGGCTGGTCCCACACTTGTGTCCAGACAAAACTGCCAGGGATTCAGATGCCCATTCAGGCTGGAGAACTGCGACAGACTCCAGTTTGGGTTCTGTATTTTTCATTCTTTAATTCATCTGGGGTATTGAGTTGTAGTGTGGTTCTAGGCAATTTTCCCAGTTGTTATGAATTTATCCCCAAAATATTTATCAAGGTTTTAAAAGCATTTATTGAGCACTCACTGCATGCCAGGGTGGCCTAGGTGTAGGTGCTATGAAGACATTTCTTCTTAGCCTTACAAAAGCTCAAATCAAGGGGCAAATATGACTCACATAAGAGTGCTAAGGCACGTCTTGAGCCCCTGGAAACTGGTAGCCAGCTCTCTGGGAGTCAGATGGGAAAGAAAGAGACCTCCCAGGGGTGAACTTGGGTCCACGGCACAGGAGCCACTGCTCACACAAAGGCAGGCTGCCCTTTTATTTATTTGTGTGGTTCTGGGAATGGAACCCAGGGCTTCACACATGCCAGGCAAGTGCTCTATCACTGAACTGCACCCAGCCCTGGGTCCTCTTCTTAACCAGATATATGGTGCCCAGGTAGGAAAGATGATGCCTGTTGTCTCCTCTCCCACCCAATGCCCTCAAAGCAGCTGCCAACTGTCCAGGGTGGATGCTTGTATTGTGTGCACACACGTACTGCAGGCCTATTACGTGATGTCCTGCACAGAAGTCTGCAGCTTTTTGTTTTTCTCACCCCACAGTAGGCATGCCTACCTCTCTGGGTCCATGGTCACAGCTTCTACTCCTTTCCAGTAGCACACACTGTCCTTAGTGTGGAGTGCCCTGATCTCTTCTCTCGTGGGTGGACATCAGCCTTGTGTCTAGTTTTGGATATTTCCAATAAACAGGGAGGAATTTGGATTGGTAGGAATGATGGGAGCCTAGCTCTGGTTCAGAAAGAAAGCTTTTTTCCCCCCAATCTTAGCAGTGTTGCCAATTAGCCTAGGAGTCTTCTGCTTGATTGAGATGGAAATCATGAATCAGCAAAGTTCAGCTTTGTCCCCAGTCCTGATGTCACCAGATGACGTTGGAAAATGCTAGCTACCAACAGTTGACACAGCGGGCTGCTAGTCACTGCCTCTGCTGGCCATCACAGTCTGCACATGCCAGCCTGTGCTGGACACTGTTGGTCGACTCTGTCAGGTGCTGGTCTCTGGAGTTCTTCGGAGCTCACAGCCTCTAATGTTTACTGCTCTTTCTTTTGAAGCAATAGCTCTGTGGGCACTACTCAGGGTAAGCATCCTGAGTAGATTTACAGGAATTTAAAGCCCACAATCACTGTCTAAGAAGTATATCACAAGCAGGCTTACAGGACCATCAAAGTGAGCATTTTGAAAGGGCCTATGCTACAGCACCGGCTGGGAGGGCAGGGGGTCAGTACTTTGTAGGGACCCCCCTCCTAGGCTAACTGGAGAAGTGGCTAGGGAGTGCTGCTTATACAGCAGCCACAGGCCTGTGACTGGTCCAAGTAGAGGCCTGTGATTGGTGCAGGGCTCCAAGAACAGCCTCAACTTTCCTGGTAGCGATGCAGTGAGGGGGCAGGGCTGAAACCAGAGAATCTTCTGGAAGGTCAGCGGGGGGGGCGGGGGGGACGGACGGACGTTGACAATGGCCCCAGATCCCTCCTTCCCTCACTGGTCTTGGACAGGCCAGGGAGCCCCTCCCTTTCTTCAAAAAGTGAACAGTAGCACCTAAAGTGGTAGGAACAGAGCGGAGTGGCGTGGGCGGCCTGTAGATAGCCAGGGAGGACAGGTAGCAAGGCGTCCGGGTCCACTAGCGGGGAGGGGACAGAGGGAGGGGGAGGGGAGGGGCGGACCACCGCTGGCCAAGCCTCGCCCCCCTCCAGCCGGAAACGCGGGAGAGCCAGGCGCTTCTCTGTCCTGGGCAGAAAAGTACCAGGAAAAAGGGAGTCGCTGGTTTCTCACAGGAAATGCCTATGACTAAAAAAATTGTTGAGAGGAGTGAGTTTAGGGTCTCCCAGCAGGCTAATGTGGGGCAACGCTGGCCTTCATTACCCCCTTATTCAGGTGGTCTGTGTCCGCCTTTGGGGCCCACGCAGACCTCCCACTGAGCCATCTGACCTAGGCTTGCAGCCCGAGCTTTCCACCCAAGCCTCGACTTCCCTTCATTCTCAGACCTGGTGGGTTTCCAGGGAAATCACCTCCGTGAGTTTCAATTAATTTGCACCAGGGTCGGCAAAGAAGGTTGTGAAAGAAATGTTGGCAGCCCGAGGAGGCTCTGAGTGCTTCAGATCCGGTCTTCTCAGCAACAGGAAGCCCATTCTTGCTCTGCATAAACAAATCCGAGCAGTTCCTCCACCTCCCCTTCCCCTGAAGGTACAAGTTGGCTTTGAAATCCATGCAAAGGATTCAAGGTGTAGCCTTATTTTGGTAAAACCCTTAATTCCTGTTATTTTAAGAGTTTATACACATTACCCTCCCCTCCGCATATAATTTAATGAAAGCCATGTGTGAGAAGAGATTGTCTTTCATTCAGCTGGAATAAAAGTTCAGCTGTGTGTTCCCAAGGTCAATTTCCATTGTTCAGGGGAGCAGGCTGGGGCAGGGGGTGCTGTGGATGTTGGTGTTGCAGTTTCCAGCAAGGCCACCAGAGGGGGCACGACGCCTTGAAACCTTCCGGTCGCTCAACATTCTGGCTACTCTGAGATCTGTTTTCCACCAAGCCCTGTACGATGTAGGCGTTGTCTCCACAGGTGGAACAGCTAATGAGATACAAGAGAGGTTTCTTGCTGGGAATCTGAGAATTCAAGGAGAGACACGTCCACTAATGCAAACATTAAGTTCTGTAAATAATTAATACCACGGATTAGCTCGTGGGTGAGGATGAGTCGCTGTAATCATTGGCACTTAAAGCTCTAAGTGGACAGTGGATAGAGGCGGGTTTCCTGCCCTAATGAGTAAGTCAGAACCTGCCCCGGAGGCACTGTTAATTGTTAAAACTTGATCATGGAGCAGGGTTGGAAAGAAATGACGATTAGTAACATTTTGGCCCCTAGAACCTGTGTAATAATTACCTTCACTTCTGCAGCAGCCATAAAAAGACCTGGACTGGGCCTGCTCTGGGGATATTCGTGGGTCCAGAGGCCCAGAAAGAAAGTGGACGTGACCACACTCCTGCCATAGCTGGGTGTTCTCTCGAGAAAGACTCTCCCCAGCTGCCCAGCACAGAACGCTCCCTGGGAGTGGCCCTGGGCCCTAGGGTTCACAGGTGACATTTCTTCACCACAATCTAACTTGGGGGGAGATTTTACTGTAAAATAAGAACTGAATATAGTTGGCTCTGTAGCCTAGGTCCTATAGTGGCAGAGCTGGATTTGAACTCAGATCGGTGTGACTCTGTCCTTGGTTTTCAGACAGATATAGATACTGTGCCTCTGTCACAGGCAGCTGGGTGAGGGGATGCAGGAACCAGCCTGCCTGGAGCTTGTGCTCTGGGAGGGGATGGCAGACCCTCACCAAGTGAAGAAAATAAAACTAAGCTACTTCTGATGGGCATGCAAAGACAACAAAGAGGGAGATTTAGATTTGATTACCTGGATTGGGGGGGTCTTTTTTATTGTAATTAGTAACATGTATTAATTGTATGAATTAATGAGATTGCTTGTGGTCTTTCTGTCCATGTGTGTATTGAGCATTGATCATGTCCATCCAACCTTCGGCTGACCTGGCTCCCTCCCTGGACCTTCAGAGTCCCTCATCTACTTTTAGGACCTTTTCCTCCACATATGAGAGAAGACACGCAATACTTATCTTTCTGTGTCTGGTTTATTTTGCTCAACATGATGTCCCACAGTTCCACCCATTTTCCTGCAAATGACAGGATTTTGTTCTTGTTTAAGGGTGAATAATACTCCATTGTGTATGTGTATAATATGTTTTTATCCATTCATTCACTGATGAGCATCTGGACAAATTCCATAAGTTGGCCATTGTAAATAGTGTTGTCGGAAACATGGGTATGAAGCTATTTTTTTTAGTATTCTGACTTCATTTCCTTTGGATATGTACCCAGGAGAGGGATGGATGGGTATATGTTAGTTATATTTTTAGTTTTTGAAGAATCCTCCTCTTGTTTTTCATAGTGGCTGCACTAAATTACATTCTTATCAACAGTGCACAAGGATTCCTCTTTCTCCACATCCTTGCCAGCATTTGTTATTTCTTATCATGGCCATTCTAACTGGATTGAGATGTAATCTTGTTGTAGTTTCGGTTTGCATTTTCTTGATGGCTAAAGATTTTGAGCATTATTGGTTGTTTATATTTTTTCTTCTGAGAAGTATCTATTCAGATCATTTGCCTGTTTTATTAATTGTGTTACTTGTTTATTTGTTAAGTTTTTTGAGTTCTTTACCTATTCTTAATTCTTTGTATATTCTGGATATTAATCTTCTGTCAGATGAATAGTTGGCAAAGATTTCTCCCATTCTCTAGGTTGTTTCTTTACTCTGTTTCCTTTGCTGTGCAGAAGTTTTAAAATTTGATACCAAGCTCATTTGTCGATTTTTCTTTTTTTCCTGAACTGTTCGTCTTAACAGGAAATTGTTGCCTGTGTCAATATCTTGAAGTTTCCTGTATGTTGTCTTCTAGTAGTTTCAGATCCTACAGTTAGGTCTTTGCCTCATTTTTAGTTGATTTTTGTGCAGGGTGAGAAATAAGGGTTAAGTTTCTATCTTCTACACATGGATATCAAGTTTTCCCAGCACCATCTGTTAAAAGGCAAGATGTAATCCCCGGCACCAAAAAAAAAAGAAAAAAAAAAGGCAAGATGTATATTTTGGCACTTTTGTTGAGAATTAGTTGTTTGAAGGTGTGTAGATTTATTTTGGGCCCTCTGTTCTGTTCCACTGGTCTACCTTTCTGTTGTTATGCTGGTACCATGCTGTTTTTGTTACTATGGCTCTGTAGTATATCTTGAAATCAGGTATTATGATGCCTCCAGCTTTGCTCTTTTTGATTAAGATAGCTTTGGCGATTTGGAGTCTTGTGCTTGCATATGAATTTTAAGTTTGCTTTTTCTAGTTCTGTGAAGAATGTCATTGCTATTTTGATTTGAACTGCGTTAAATATGTAGATTGCTTTGGGTAGTATGAACATTTTAACAGTATTAATTCTCCAATTCTGTGAACATGAGAGATTTTTGCTTTTGTTTGTTTTTTAACAGTATAACTAGTCACTTTCATTCCAGGCTCATTGCAGAGGAGCACAGGATGGGGCATGCTCACAGTGGTACAGATGGTGGGAGGGCAGGTTGTCCTTTTAGATTATTTTGCCTTATGAGACATGGGAGGTCATTCTACTCATCTTTTTCAGATTCTTTCTTCAGTATTTCATAATTTTCATGGTAGAGGTCTTTCATATCCTGTTTAGGCTTATACCTAGATATTTTATTTTTTTAGGGCTGTTGTAAATGAAGTTACTTTCCATATTTCTTTCCCAATGAGTTCATAATTGGTGTATAGAAGAGCTACTGATTTTTGTTGATTTTAAATCTTGCAATATTATTGAATTTATCAGTTCTAATTGTCTTTTGGTGGACTCTAGGTTTTTCTGTGCCTGGAATCATATCATTTGCAAACAGGGATAACTTTACTTCCTCCTTTCTTATTTGCATGTTATTTATTACTTTTTCTCTCCCAACTGCTCAGGTTAAAATTTATAGGATTATGTTGAATAAGAATGGTAATAATAGACATCATTGTCTTGTTCCTGATCTTAGAGAAAATACTTTCAGATTTTCTTCATTCAGTATGGTTTTGGCTATAGGTTTGCTGTATATAGCCTTTATTATGTTGAGGTATGATACTTTTGTACCTAATTTATTCAGGGATTTTGTCATGAAGGGATATTGAATTTTATCAAATGCTTTTTCTGCCTCTATTGAGATGATCATGTGATTTTTTCATCCTTGATTTTACTTATTAGCTGTGTTATATTTATTGACTTGTATCCCTGGAATGAAACCAACTTGATCATGATGTATCATCTTTCCACTGTGCTGTTGAATTCAATTTGCAAGTATTTTGTTGAGGTTTTGTAACTATTGCATCAGAGATATTGGCTTATAGTTTTCTTTTCTTTACTGTACCCATGTCAGGTTTTGGTTGCAGGATAATATTGGTGTTGAAGAAGGAGTCTGGAAGGATTGCTTTCTTTTCTGTTTTATGTAATAATTTGAGAAGACTGGTATTAGTTCTTCTTTAAAAGTTTGCTAAAATTCAGCAGCGGAGCCAGCTAGCTGGTCCTGAGCTTTTCTTTGTTGGGAGACTTTTTATTACTGATTCAATCTCAGTACTTATTATTGGTTTTTAAAAATTTTTAAATATTGTTTTGGCTCAATTTTGGTAGGTCAAATGTGTCCAGAAATTTGTCCTTTTCTTTTAGGTTTTCCAATTTATTGACATACAGTTTAAAAAATATTTCCTATTGCCAGGCATGATGGCACACACCTATAATCTCAGCAGTGAGGAGGCTGAGGTAGTTCAAAGCCAGCTTGGGCTACATAGTGAGCTCAGGACCAACCTAAACTGTGTAACAAGTCCTTGTCTCAAAAAACCTGTGAGTTTCTGTGGCATCTGTTGTAATGTCTCAGAAGGGCTGCTTTAAACTGGATGTTTGGTAAAGTTATCAGGGGAGGAGATAGTTGAGTTGAACCTGAGGATGGGAAGTTTCATTCTGT